ATTCTTTCAGAAGAACACAGAATTTTATCATCTTCACAAAGTAGATTACTGCATTTTCTACTAGAAAAGTAGTAGAAAATGGCATTTTTCACTGCTTTTTGTTATCTTCTTGTCTAAAAACAACCATATCTTACTCAGCGCTACTAAGGTTAGCAAGTTGACAGAGTAATTCACTTTAAAAAAGTTAATTATTTTTGAAGAAACTTACTATATAAAGTCATAAGCAGTAAAAATCATCCTAAACTCTCTCTTCTATCTACATCCACTTTTGTATAAGATTAATTTAGTAATTCAAGTCGAGCCAGAAGGAAGAGAAAAAGGAGCATAGCAAAACACAGCATGTGTGAAAATCTACAAGCATTAGATAGCTAAACAAACCCTAAGTCCCTCAGTGTTGCAGTAAGGTCAAAACCTTTCAGCATTGTACCAGCGTGTCAAAATATGTCAACAAACCATCATACTTCAAGAAGAAGAATGACCTTTCAGTTCTTTATGTTTGGGCTGCTTTGGATACTGGGTATGCATGAACAGTTTTCCTACCCACTTGACAAATATAACTCCCAAGATTTCTTCCAAGTCAAGTTGTTACAATGGTTTTCAATTCACCAAAACAATTTTTTAAACCATCGGCAACTGAAGAATACTAAACTTGTTAATAGGACAGCCATCTACAAACCCACAGCAGATCTCCCTCTTCCCCTAAGACCAATCAGACAACAATTATTACTTCAAAAGTCTTCACAATAACCTGTTAAAACCAAATTAAAGAGATGAATAGCAAAAAACGAATGTAATTCTGATCTCCTGATTCAGACTTTGCTTACATACAATTCATCCTTACTGTCAACTGTAAATGAATTTGAACACAACACTTTTCTCACAAAGACCTAGGAACACATGATCTGTGTTTGTGTTGTGAAATACAATCCTTGGCATCATTTTTGTTTGCACTTATCTGAATTAAATATACCCTTTTATTAATCTACAGGGCTCTATGATAATTTAATAATTTTACTATGACTTATAGCTATGAATTGAAGTCCCAAGATCAGGCTTAATGTGCCAATTAACAACACAATGAATTTAGGCTTCCAAAAAGTGTGATTATTATTTTAAAATTACTTACAGGAAACTTGCTTTTATTTATTCTTTCAAAAAAGCAGAAGCACAGGACTAAACATTTAGAACGCAAACACATGGTGGAAGGAATTAAGTACAGAGATGAGTAACCATTTTTATTCAAAGAGAAGATGAAATGTTTCTTTTTCAGTATGTGAAATTGCCTTTAGTTTAATAACAGTGTCAAATATGACATTTTCCTATGTTTTTCCTCACCTATCGTAAAGTAAGTTTCTTTAGCTAATAATGACGTCAAGCTATCTCCTGGGACTCTCTAGAAATTACATTCCAGACTGTACATATGCCTTAGCCATGCTTCAAGAGGATGGAAAATGTAAATTGCTGTGTTTGAGTTTATATCTTACAGCAAGTCACTGACAGTGCACCGACTAATTACTGTTTGAACCATGTGTTGCTGATCTGTATATCCTTAGAAAACAGCAGTCATGCCTGTCAGCTCTGACTACCAGACTTTTACAGCTAAGACTCCAATTTTTAATTTAAGTTTAAAATAAGTAATAAAATCAGACATTTTGGAGAAAAGAAAAAGAAACAGCAACATTCATCTAAACCCTAAAACAATTTACAACATGTTCACAGACCCTATTTTAAAATGCAATCTGAGTAACGTGCTGCTCATGCTCTCCAAATTACCTCTGGTCACACTAACTATTCAATAGCTTTTATTCTCATAGTTACAACAAATACACTAATATAGACCAGTGACAAATGAAAAGTGTAGTATCTACTACTTGGGCACAAAGCAATTCTATTTTGTACATGGAGTTTCTTTGTTTACCCAGTGGCAGTGTAAGCTACAGTCTGCTCAGTGGATGCCACCGCTCTGGAGGAATAAACATATTGGTTTATACTTCCCCCCTTCTGGAGGGAAGTATATTAATCACTTTATACTAAGTTTATCTAGTATATAAAATAGCTTTTTTCCCTAAAACATAACTCTGCAAAATCAATCTGGGAACATGGAAGACCAAACTTGCCTTTACATATTTCTTTATTATTGAAAAATCTCAATATCTAAACAACGTCTTAAATTATAACTGTGCAAATTCACTGACAAGGTACACTTTGTACATTTTTAATGTGAAGCTTAATTTGAAGATGAGGTTGCAGTGCACCACTGCAATTGAAAATTGCTTAACAATACCATTGATGTATGAGCCATAAAAAACCTCACTAAGCTGTCCCTGCAGAACTCAGAGTAATAAAAAGGTGTTCTTCTGCACTGAGGTGAACAGACATGGTTGACTGCATCTAGGGAGCTGTTCTGTTAAATGAGAAAGTGCCATTTCTTTCCTGTCAGTACAGACCAATTTAAGACATTCACAGATTTAGTTAGCACAAAGTACAGGATTTAATGAAATACACACATAACAGCAAACAAGCCCCAGCTATGTTCAAAGCTTTCAGTCGGATTCTGAATAAAATTCATCTTACATCTGTGACATGTGAGAAAAGAACATAGAAATTTTTCCAGTTTGACTCGCGATTTTTAGATAAGCAATAAAAAAGCTGAACAGAAAAGGTCTAAATCCTCTCACTTCCATTCCTTTCAAAGTATCTAGATTTGTGTTTCTATCCGCATCTAACAGGTGATAGAGATTTTCTCTTGGATTTCATTTCTGCTTTAAGTTCAACCAATAGATCAGGTTTAAATAATCCTTAACTATTACTTCAGTGTCATATCATCTCTATTGTGAACTCATGCTTGCTCTCCAAATAATTTCTCTTTCAAGAGGAAAGGAGACACAAAGGTGTGGTAAATTGACTGAGAATCTGGTTGTCTTTTGAGAGACCTCTGCATAGACTGATTAAATAATACAAATTTTGTTCACAGTTTGTGCAGTTACACCTGTGTTCTTTCATATAAATAGTTCCAGAGACCACAAAGTAAACTGTCTAACCTATATACAGCCTAACCTGTCAACATGTGCTCATTAACTCAACTGCCATTTATTAGACATTACAGTAATTCAGAACTCACTTCAGAAGATGTGGCTCTGTCAGCTTGGCCAAGCAATACCAAAATTAAAACTAACAGGATTTATTCTTTAAAAAATCCCCATAAAAATCTACCTAATTTCCATAATTAAACTAAATTTTTGATTTGGGGTGTAACTAATCTTACTATGGAGAGTTCTAGTTTCCTTTATATAAATGTAAATTCATTATATTTAAGAATCAACCATTTTGGTAGTTGTTTCTAATACAAACAGCTGGAAGAGCAGATTTAGAAAAATCTCAAAATTACTTCCAAAATGTTTTATTGATCCATGTATCATTCCAGTCTAGCTTTGCAACATTAAAGATATTTGACTAACAGCACAGTGAGAGATGTTATTCCATTTTTGAATTTGAATTATTAATTGGTCCATGTTAAAATTAAAATGAAGTTAGCAACTACTTGGTTTCTTGATAAAAGCGTAAGAGAAGTTTCCTTTGGAAATGTCAGATGCAAATGGTAAACACTATTCTCAGATGTTTTACACTAAAATGAGGATAGACACTCCATAGCACAAAAAAAAAAGAGGCAGAAACTGCAATGGTGATTTTATTACAAAGAACAACAGGATCAGTGCCTTCATTTTACCTGTCAATGCAAGTTTCACCACATCTCAACTTAGTATCTTTAAGCTCAAGTTATCTGTTTAAAATTCACTTCTTGGAGGTATTCTTCTCTGATCCCATAATGGATGCCTTCAAACACACCCTTTACACTCAGAAAGTATTCCTGTACATCTCAGTACATCTAATAGTCTTCTCCCAGCCTGAGCTGCTCCATTTCCTTTACACTGGTGTGCAGTTCAGCACTGTTTGCATCACAATCTTTCCTGCCATTCTCACCATTTGCCTAGATATTGTATATACTCAAATTTCTACAACTCTTCTAGACTACAATATCATCATGCAACAGTCGACAGCCTTCCATGTTTCCCATTACCTTGATTCAAGTTTTCCAATTCTCTGCTTTCTGGGATTGTCAAGTAAGAGCAGGTCATTTCATATCAAGCAAGAATGTTGAGAATAATGCTGCAGAGCATAATTCTACATATTGGTGATGTTATTTTCAAGATCTGTTTTCCCTTTCTCTGCTGCCTTCTATCGAACCTGCTTTTAAGGTATGGTATTTCCAAAGGTACTGCAATTTATTTTCACATTCAGTGCAAATACTAATGGTCACCAGACTAGTCTCTGATATTGCATGTTCACACACTTGTGCCATGTTCTCCACTATCCCTCTCATGGTCTCTTGTGGACACTGAGAAGACTTCTAAATTTTTACTTTAAAAAAATCCGTTATTGAAATTGTAATTTGCCTTACTGTCTTGCTTAGGGTTCTAATGCATAGAAAAATGGCATTGAAAATGAAGCACTGTGTTTAATATTTTTTTTGGAAAAAATACTCCAGTGAGCAAGTGTCCAGTACCATGGACACCTTTCCGTGGTATTTCCCCCTTTATCCTGCAAATACTTACTACATTTTCAACCTGAAGATAACTGTAATTATTACTTCAAATGTACAAAAGAAATACTTTATTAATAAATGACCACTCTGAAACAGTACTGTTCTACTTACAATGACAATGAGCAGTAATGTGCTTTATACACAAATCCCACTTGGTTAGACCGGGAAGATTTTTTAACAAATTTGTTACTTTGCACATATTACAAAACATTACAGCCTGACTTTGTAAGTCAGGTATTAAAAAAATATAACTTCTGTACCAAAATGACTTACTCTGTCATCTGGCATCACTGTAAAATCACCATATATATTTGCTGGATGTTAACAATTAACATATCAATTTTTCTTTTTAAAATGAAGTCCTATTTATCCATAAGGAAAAAGAATACAAATATACCTGTTCCAGTAGCTCCAAAACTGGTCCTGCAAGTGGGCTTGGTGGCTACTTTCATCACCAAATGAGGCTTTGCTTTCAATCCAGTGGATTATGTGTCCTTCCACAGCTAGGGTGACAGTAGAAAATAGACTGAACTCTGAAAATCACACTCAACAGCCTCTAAGATTGTGTTAGGGAACATTGTATTTACTCCACAATCTACCACATAATTCATGCTTGTAACTGTGTTACATATTTGTAAAAATTATCTTTCAAATATGTACATAGGGCATTTAAAAAAACACCAGAAAATACTTTCAACATATAATCACATGAATTTCAGTTTAATTACACCCTGTTCCACACATCTGCATTTATTTTAACAGAAAGAGAATGTAAAGAAAAAGAGATTAGACTAAGAAGCAGTTGTATTTTTCTACTACCCTTACTTTGTTAGAAGGTAGTTGTCAGGTAAGAAATTGGAAACTTCTGCTGAATTATAAAAACAGTTAGCTAAGCTGCTAAAGACAGACACTTGCCACCAGCCCAGAATGGAATGTATAAGAAAGGGAAGGAAATTTATCCTGGACATGTGTCTGCTTCCTTTCTTTTGTAAAACCAGCAATGTTTAATTAGAAAGAAGTTAGGAATAAGAAAGCTTATGTGAAAAAAATGTGGTTTTGAATTTCTGTTTCTTTCCATGCGTTGGTATTTGCTTTGGTTCATGTCTTTCCTAATTTCTTGCAGGAGTGAACTACTAATATTAATAAAATAATATTTTTTTTTTTAAAAGGAATGTCCTCTCTGAAACTGACAAAGTAATTTCACAGAAAAAATAATGAGTATCACTCTAAGCATCACATTCTTTCTCCAAAAAGGTGTTGTTGGGTATTATCGTTAAGATCTTTAAAAATGTTACTTTTGAGTTACCTACAATATCTACAACCATCATGCTTTAGCCTAAATTTGACTTGGATTGAGGTTTTCAGAGAACATGCAAACCTAGAAGCACTATACAGAAAGATTACAAGAGGCTATAGCAGCAAATGATTGATCACAGATGGCAAAATTACCCAGGGGATCTGGGAAAATAACTCATGAAGTACCATACTAAGCTCTATGTGCCACCACTACCTTGCTATCAGTAACCCTGTTAACTTGTATAGGCCTATACCACTGCATCCTTCCCCACTCCCAACACCTTTAGACCCCAGGAGATATAACAGCTGAGGTATAATCAGCTCAGAGGCTCTTTCTAAGAAACCTCTGCCTTTCCTAGGTATGTACTGAGTCATAAAGAAAAGAATCCAAGGATTGCTATACCTTAGTTCAGATCAGACAACAGATAGAACATGATATCCTGTAAGTCTCAAGTGATTTTAATAATTTGAAAGAAACAACACACTATTATTATTTGAATTTGAGACAAATATATGCAAATGAATTAATGACTATTTTTAACCTTCTTTCTAATAGGGTAACATTACAAAAATAATTTTTTGAGTGTTCCCTGGTTTCCCCTCTCAAGAATTAAAAAAAATAGCTGCTTTTCTAGTTTCCTTTTTATCAGGCTCTGGAATACATGGGACATAATCTCATGTTTCTAATATAAACGTGGCTACCCTTAGCACCAGGTATGTACTGTGTTATTATGGTCCGCATTACTGGGAAATCGTACTAATGTATACAACTTTCTGAAGAGCAGGTAAAGAGGGAGGCAGGCTCTTTTCAGTGGTGTCTAGTAACAAGACCAGTGGCAATGGGTACACACTTAAACACAGGAGGCTCCACCCCAAAATCAGGAACCACTTTTTCACTATCAAGGTGCCTGAGCATAGGCACGTGTCACTTAGAAAGGTCGTGGATTCTCCCTCCTTGCTGATATTCAAGAGCTGTCACATGACCTCAAGACCAGAAAAGGTAGATGAACTTTAACATGACCTTTATACTTACTTTTTACCTTATTCTTTCTTGCTATTCAGGCTTTTAAAAAACAGTAAAGAACTGCAGAGTTGTATTTGGATCCAAAGTGATGGCAAAAGAATAATTGCAGAATGACAAACCTTTATGCAATGACCTACAGGTGTAATATAATAATCTTAAGACTACTTTGAACTGATTATTTCTAGAAGTAAAAACATTTATAGCTATTTCAGAGTTTAGTTCAGAATACATTAGAGGGAGAAGGGATTTAGGGGTTTTTACTGTTGCTTTTTTCTCCTTTTCTTGATAATGAGATAAAAACATGCAGAGACTAAAGAAGAAACACTGGGTAATACAATTTAGGATCAAATCTCTCTGATTCAAATTAGAAGTTCTTACAATTATTGGGTAACTCCTGAAGAGACTTATTTGCAGTACGCTAGAATATGATTCACTTAAGTAGCCATAGTATTTTAGCATGGGTACTTCTACACAAAATAATAAAAATTCTTTTAAAAGACTTACCTACTGGCACTTCTAAAATAAAGTCTGGTGTTTTGTCATAACCCTTTGCACGAAGCTGATCTTCAGCTGTACATAGAAAATAAGAACTACTGTTTATAAAACTATTCCATTAAGTAGACAGCAGCATAATTAATTTCATTCTAAATAAGAGTGCAAGAATTACTAATGCAGTCATACATATCTTTCTTATGCATGCAATGCTGTGTCAGATTAAATGAACCTTTGTAGAAAACCTGAAGCATGGATATAAAAATGCTTCTTTGTCATCCCTGCATTTTTATGTCTTCATTATAAACATCATTAATTCAAGCCGTCATACAGTATTTTATAACCTCCAAATATTCAAAATAAAGAGGTATATTCACTGATTGAAAGAAGAGTCTCTCCACCTTTGGATGTCATAAGATTAAGCCTACCAACACCACAAATATAGCTATACCATCACTCTTGCCTTGGTTTTATTTTTAATGTTAACATAAAGTTGTTAAAGAAAAAGAGCAAGAAAATCTTTCTGTCCCAGAAATTTATCAAAGTAAAGAAGAGTCATAATTTTAGCTTATCTTGCATTCTGGATTCTGTAGAATTTTTATGATTTCTGAACATAAGAAGATTGAGACATTCTGCTAACATTACATCTACAGCTTAAAATTATTAGAGCTGAGTATTTCAAGAAATAATAATGAGTGAGCAAGACAAAACTACAAAAGGCAAAAGATGCTCCCTTGAAAAAAAAGAGGAAAAAAAAGAAAGGAAAAAGCCCATGCCACCCCTTAATATTTTTAAACGATTGTCCTTGATTTCTGATACCATTACATTGGTATTTCTGAAACACCATTCTCCATTAGAATTTGGAGTGACCTGGTCATTCAATTCCAGGCATGGCTTTCTGTCTTCACCCAAGCTCAACTAATGGCACTACCTAGTAACAAGTAAGACTGTGTAGCCCCTTAACACCTTCTGGGCTGTTGACATTGCCATGCATCCCATTCGCCTTTCTACATCACCTTTGATTAAAATTAATGGTCCATTCTCACTGTTGGGTAGCTTATTTCCAATCCATTTATCAGCTTAGGACAGTAGTTTCACGGCCAATGTTCAGAACTCAGTTTTTGAATACTTTGTGCAAATCCTGAAAGGTCAGCAGTTTGAGCCCAAGTAACATTTTAATGACAAGAAAAACATGCTAACTTAAAAATCAAAATACTGTAATATTGCCAAAATCAAACCCTCCACTCTTTTTCATTGAAGAATATAACTCGGAAATATTTTATACAGTGAACTAATTCTGAAATTTGGATAGAAGTAAATTTGGAAAGCTGAACATTCATGTCAGTATAAATTGCAATAGGTGTTTATTCTTTCCGCATGGTACTATATATTTTTTTTTTAATTTTGAGAGTATTTCCTCACTATAAACAGATGACACTAAATAGAAGTCTTTGCAATGTGACACATTATCAGATGATAAGAGATTGTCATTCTTATCACATGATAAGATAATGAAAAACATTTCTAGGATTTGGAGACAGACTTGGTTTTTGACTAATTTTTGAAATTTAGATTGCCATGTATACAGATAAATGATGTTAAGATCAAGAAGGTTCTAATTTAACAGAATCTCTGAATAGAAAGTTTTACGCCATAACATAAAAATGAATTAATGTTCTATGTAATCTTTTAAAAAACCAACAAAACAACTAGTTAACAACTAGTTAACTGCAACCTGCTCTTAATTGTTTAAAATAATCTAGCATAGACAATAGGATGTCTCAGCTGAAATTTTGTTCATTTAAGAGCAATAGCAATGGAAAGGTCAGTCTTTTCTTTCACATCTAACAAATGCTAGTACCACAAAATAAGGGAAATGAAACTTAAAAAAACGTACTGAAAGCTGAAACAGATGTAAACACATGTTTCATAGGTCAATATGGCAGGTCTCTGAACCAGAATCTGCATCAGCATTACTTTTAATATTCTTCAGCACATTATTTTTTCAAGGGTGCCTGATTACTTTTAAAATCTTTTCATATTAATTCATGACTTGCAAAAGAACATATTTTTTATTTTATATCTGGTTCTAAATGTTATCATGTGGTTTGTCCTAGCATTCTGTATTGTGATTAACATTGGAAAACATTAAAAAACATGTTTATTATTTATGTATCTGTATGTGCAGAAATAGAACTTTGCATTATTATTTCACCAAGTGTTTTGAAGCTTTATAACACTGGGCAAGAAATAATTACTGAAACTCCTCACAATTACCATCAAATTTTTGTTTTAAACCATAACACCATCAAAAAGAAGTACTAACTTTTCAGCCCAGGTATATTTCACATTGGTCCAGAAACTACAGAGGCAGCATTCTGCACCTCAAAAGATCTTTAAACTCCAGCATGGATTAAAAAAATAATTCAGTAACTACTTGAAAGCCAGCTCACAGCAGTTTTGACAGTTACACTTATAAATCCTCAGGTCTGAAAATTATGTGGAAACAGACCTAATAAGCAGTTTGTCAACAGATACCCCATTAATTCAGATTTTCAACAAAACTGCAGCTTCATCTTTACCATAATGTTACACTCAATCAGAACCATTTAACACATCATTGTTCTTATATAGCCCTCCTCTGCTGATGCATGAATGAGCTACAACTGCAAATTTAAGATTACAACAGAAACAACTGATCAGATTTCACGATTTATATCCACTAGTGGGAATCAAAGGAGGATAAAGCTCAGTACCTCCCCATATATCTAAAAGCTTTCCTAACATATTCATGGTAAAGATACAAAAATAAAAATCCCATACAGAACTTAGAAGCTGCTGGCATTTCAGTATGGCATGTGAAGCTGTGAGCCTGTTTTGATAAAATGCTTCTATTGATCACTTTAATCTCAGGCCAAGTGATAAAGACTGGAGAGCTGTGTTTTTGCTGAAAAGAGGACATGGTATGTGAAGCACTTCTCGTGAAGTGTAAATTAATAAAATGTAACCGCCATTAGCGAGTATTCTAGGTTTCTAGTCAATTACAGCGTGAGCCTGAAGGTGTTACTTCTAATCTGTAGGCTTTGAAAGCCAACTGCTCTAGAAACAGACAAATTCTGTCCAGAACCTGAAAAGCTGCTTCATGCTCAAAGACTATAGTGAGGCACTTCATGTCCACTGTGTCCTTTGACTGTACTTTTCCTCTCCTGTACTAGACTCTCTGCTGTTCAGGTGAACACATTCGATACAGTGAAATAGTACACTAATATTGGAACTGCAAAATTTCTGTTTCTTTGAAATGTGTTAAAAAGTAATGGAATTACAAGCCATAAGCCATGTAAATCATAAGCCTTCTTCAAAACAAGAATGAAGTATTGTGCAACAAAGCCTGAATTTGTAGACCTATGGGAAATACTGGCATGTCTTCTGTTTTTCTGGTGTTTTCTTCAAGCAATTTTGGAACTAGTTTTTCAGAAAGGAAAGGTTGGGGGACCTTTGCAAGGGACTTGGTAGGGTTCATCTTGCAGATACTTGGGAAAGTTTTTTTTTAAGAATATCCCAAACACATGTAAAACCTGAAATACATACATGATCGCAGACATGAATACAAATCTTAACATATCTTAAATCATGACTAAACAATACTTCACTATATAAAAAATGTGAACAACAAGTTAAGCTCTCATTTCTATCTTCATATTCTAACAAGTTAACCCATTTCTAGATGTTTTAATTCGATAGCACAAGTTTCTTTGAGCTAATTTCTAAAGACAAAATTGATGCTTATCCAAAGTCACGAAACAGTAAAATTTAAATGCGATTTTTATACTGCTTAAGCTTAAACAAGCCAAATAAAATGATAATTCATTGGGTTGAGGATCCTTTAGTGAGTCATCCAGTCCATTCCCTTGCATCGTGATGGAATTGATTTCATTATCAGCTTTGATAGATGAGTGTCAAATCCAGCCTTGAATTTTTCATTGAAGGTGATCCCACAACCGTCCCTGGCAGTTTGTAATACTTATTTTTCCTAGAACTGTTTGGTATTTTAATTTGCCATCATCTCTGCAATTACAGCTTAAGCCTTTTACCTGTATCTGCACTCTTACAGTCAAATAAGAAACCTACCTCTTCTAATTTTCATACTGTCATTTGCAAGCTTGTTATGTGATAGTTAATCCTGTCCTTTTTTTCACTTTTCTCTAAAATAAAAGAGCACACTAATTCTGTTCTGTAATCATATGGATAAATCTCTTAAAAAGCTCTGTAACACTTTCTAACTTCTTAAATTTGTTTAAGGTTTCCAAAATCTTGACCTGATCTCCTGACAGCTTCAGGAGAGATCACAGCTCCAGGTAAACCCAGCAAAATTCACACAAATTTAGTACAATGCTCAACCATTAACAGAAGACAGCATTTCACTTCACGGTCATCTATTACATAAGGAATCTAAGATTTAAGAAGTCATTGTGATCACATTTACAGAATGGATACTTTAAACATTAATCTTTGTTTCAATGGCTCTTATGTAAAAGAAACCTACTACAGGCTAAAAGAAAAAAATGGAAGTAACTTCCTAACTAATTAATCCTTAAAGTAACTTTAAAAATTGGGAGTATAAAAAAGAGTAATTGCATTGATTGGGAAGCAGGGGGCAAAAATTCAGCAGAAACTGCACAGCAAGGTAAATGAGTGAATCTTCTAGCAGTTCTTTAATACATAAAGCATTCTGAAGCTAATATTTCATATGCTTCTTCCTAAATCTCATAAGGCCTGGATTATGGCTAATATCTCATGACACCAAAAGTAATACTGCAGCAGATATGAAAGCATTTTTTTCAGCTACTTATTCTATAAAATATTAATTGCAAGCCTGTGCATGTGCTGTATATATAGGGTATTAGGTAACAGAGTTCCTGCTCAGTTCTAAATCAATAAAAGATAACATATATAGCATCAATCATATTTTACTCTTCCTTTACTACCTAATATAGGGAGCATTCGGGCTGAATTTTTTCCTAGATAAACAGCTACTAACACCTCTGAAGTTAAGAATTCACTGGATAGCCTCTGCTACAGATTCTTACCTATGAAAGAGAGATTTTTTTCCAAAAGCATTTCTCGCAGCAAGACTTCGTGCTCATGCCCAATAGCGCTGATAGATTTAGGTTAAGAAATAGAGGATTACTTTGGAAAAGAAGAAACTTCATAGAAACATCATGAATTTATTTGCCTTCATCTGCATTTCAGAAGTGACCAGTGATTTGAACTCTAAGTTTTGAAAATCCTTATAATGACTTTTAGAAGCATACACAACGTTGCAAAAATCAGATTATGGTACCAACAGCATACACTTTAGAATTAAAACCCATTTGACCATATTTATTCAGTACATTTAAGGGTAGTATTTCAATTTTTTCTTTAGTGGTTATTCTTCTAAATATAAAAGAAAGCGTGATCCTAAAACATGCAGTAAAATACCTTTAAAGTTGCACTTTACTGACTCCAATTCTCCAATCCAGCAAAGGATGAAACAAACTGATTTTCTTTCTTAATATCCTAAAATTGATAGGTACTACATTCATCTGAAACATCTTACTGTAAAAAAACCATCCTTTTAATTGTTTTTTCAGAAGCATGAACTAATATCAGGGAAGGATGAAATCATATTTTATAGTGAAGTCCTTTTCACTTCACTGACAGCCTGTTGATCCAATGTCCTATTCCTTAAAATATGTAAAAAAAATCACCATATTAAATATTTTTAATTTATCCTCTTGGAGGTCAAAGTTCGATTCTGGAAGCTTTTAAGAAGAATCCTATAGAACAATATAATAAAAGATATTACATTAAAAGCAATTAAGCTCAAAATTCTGTTTAAAGTAACTTCTTAAAACCTAAACTACAGATCATCTTGCCATTACTATTAGTTACTTAACTTATATGAACCCTTCATACTGAACAGCAAACAAATAATTTTATGGAATCACTTCTTATGTACATACAGCTTATACAAATTGAAACTCTTATTTTCTTAAACTCTACTAGCAACTTCAGAACAAAAGGGACAAATGAAGAATGGCAAAAAGGTAAGAAAAATACCACAAACAGAATTTACAATCCAGCACAAGCAAAAACACTTAGTCTATAATAATACCTGTTATCGATGCATGGCAATGACCATGGGGCAAAACTTGTAAATAACATCACAAGCCATTTTCTACTCATGCAATCTAGCAGCCTAGTTTCCCGTAAGCATCTGAACTATTACTGAAAAATAGCCTCTTGGCATTTACAAAGAGGTTGACTTCATACTTTGGTCCATGCATATACAATTAGATAGTTATATTTAAAATCAATATGCAATCCTTCAGAAGACATTATGCTTTTAAACCTTAACTTTAAATTGATTTTTAACTATTTTATGCACCTCAAAATTAACATCTAATTCAGCAACATACTTGCAGTAATGCACTCACACAGCTTAGTATTAAACTTTTCTGTACCAGAATGGAATTGAAAAACTCCTCATTACTCTCATTGATGCCACTGCATATTCAACAACCAATTTGAGCCAGAACATGAGGAGGATATAAAAATCTTTTCTAAATTGCAAGCAACTAAGTTTAAAAATGGTTCATAATTCTACATATGTGTCTTTGTTACTTTTAAACATGGCACTTTCATAAGACTGCAGCCAGACTGCTCATCCACAAAATATTAATCTTAAAATTCTGGATATGAAAACCAGTGATCAATAACCCTTTAAAATGTGTGGCTTATTAGATTAATTAATTAGATTAATTCACTTTCAGAGAACTTTGTTTAATCATGAAGATAATCTCAATGAATATTTAAAATTACAATTAAAAGCACAAAATACAAAGACAATTAGAACTCTATTCTGCTGCTGTTAAAATCAATGAGGGTAGGGCTGATCTAGCAGAAAGTATTTTTAAGGAGTGACAATCACCTGTATCAAAACTACATGAAGTAATTTTTCATTGATACTAAATATTCACTGCAGCTTTCCTATCTGGCACCTGTACAGTGACACCAAGATTTCCCCCCAAACTGCATGCAGAGATTCAGGCAAGGATTCTCTAGGACTTGGGAAGGATGTGCCTTACAAGCCTGCTCAGTGATAGCAGGCCATGATTTTTTTGACCACAGACTGCAACAGAAGAGATGCTCCTGCAGAATTTTATTAAAACAGATTTGGGGTTTTTGTGATCATTCCTACCAAATTACAATCTTAGTCTGGAATACTCAGTGCCACGTGGAGTTCCCTCATGTACACACCATATGGATCTCTAATTAACTATTTCAACACTACAAAAAAATATCCCTGAAAATTCAGGATATATAAGGTTTTTTTACTACAGCTAAATCTCCTTTAATAAGAAGAGAAAATAAAAGAACTGCACTGGAGTGTCAGATGGGAGTTTAAAAATACTAATCAGCCAATCACACCTGACCTGCACTGGAAAAAAATTCAGTTAAAACTCATATTCATAAAAAAGCAAAGCCATAATGTTGAACACTATGTATGAAACTTATTAATTTAATCACAGATTAACTAAGATTGGAAAGTATCTCCAGGGATCATCTAGTCCAACTCCACCAGTCAAAGCATGGTCACTTAGTCTTAAGCAAAAACCAGATATGCATTTCAACTGATCAAAACCAAAGAGGTTTAGTCGGGCAAACTGCCCTCTTCCCATGGTCCATCTGATTTTTGTTAGTTAAGAGAAAGCTCTGCAGTGACCCTCTAGCTGACTGAATGTAAAAGAGAGGAGTATCAAATGTGTTTTGTGAAGCAGAACTTTATGTCAGGTTAAAGCTAGACACATCTCTTCCACACAGTCTAAGCTCATCAATTGTGCACCTAAAATTTTATGGGAAAGGATACTGTTTGATGCAGTCCACCAGTGGTCCATAACAACAGTCATTCACAGTACACTGCAGACAAATAAGAGAAGTAGTATACTGATGGGCAAGTACAAAACCATTATAGTTAAAGAGTATCTTAAAAACAGTAATTACTTTTCCTCAAAAAGGCTATCAGATGCTGTTCAGATTTAATCACAGAAAACAAAACCTGCATGCTTTTATTCACTATAAAAGCAAGCTATTAAAAAGTGAATGCTCCCCTCACAAATATTGCACTGCCATTTATAGTGCACTCTGACCTCACTGATAGTTTATGATGACAGTAATTAAATGAGGTTTAAAATCTTTTACTCTGCTAGGCAGATAACAAAATTGCCACAGAAAAAAAAAAACCCAAACCAAACCAAACAAGTGTGATTAATACCTGATAGACTTGATTTGCTAGCACTCCATCTGGAATCTGAGAAGGGTCCCGTAGCATGCTATTTATAAGAGTTTTGGAGGCTACAGAAATAAAAAAAAAAAAAAAAACAAAAAAAAAAAAAAAAAAAACAAAAAACCTGTTAGCTCAGTTACACTTTATTAGTAAAAACTGATAACTGATGTTATTAATAATTTTGAAAATTATCCACCCAGCAAATACAAACTTACAAATTCATATGTACTTACCTATTCCTATACAATTATTTCTAAAGTCTTGATACACCCAAGGATTTTATCAGCCCAAGGTGAAAGCAGGCCCTTATTTACTTAGTTCTACTGGACAGTTTGAGCTTTAGATACAGCTTCTAAGGAAATTGCTTAACATACACTAAGTGTAACTCAAAACAACCTTCATATCCTATTAGAAGAGATGTAAAAATTCTAAACAGCCTTTAAGAAACTTTTTAAGGACTTCAATTTACTAGTTTCCAAATTCAAGTATTTACTTACTCAGTGTTGACACATTTTTCTGAGTGTGTTTCAGAGCTGGGAAAAGGCTTTCTTTGCTTTTTTGAAATGTACAAATGTAAGTAAAAAGAACTAAAGCTACTTTTAGCACCTATATTTTTTTTTAATTACAGATATTACAATGAAAAAATAACATAAAACGGGAGATAACGTTAGTTGATTTTCAAATACAGTCTTAGCAATCCTTGGCATTGTTTCCTTTCCATGTGCTTAGGCTGGGTACTCGAAAATACCAGTTAATTACTAATAGCTTTATTTTAGAAAAATACCTTCTAAAAACATCAAATATTTAAAAATTTCTCAGAGACAAGTCAACACTGCACATGCTGCCTCTGTCCTGGGAACAACCTCTGATGGAGCTCAGCTGGTGGTGTATTTACATCTTTGAATCCTTATGTGTAGATCAGGTTTGACAATAGCAAGGTTTCCCACTTTGCCAAAGATTTCCTGCATGACTTCAGAGTAATTCCTTTAAGCTGCGTGTGCTTCAATCCTGTAAACAAAATTAAAAACTACTCTTTTTCTGTTCTTCATCTGTTTTGCCCAAACTCAGAGCCAAAGCTTTGTAATGGTCTTCAGTAACTGAACCAAAAGACTCAGGTGACACTGTGAAAAGGATTGACAGAGCCTGTGACACGAAGGGATCTGCCATATATGCAGCAATGCTGCTGTCAATGGATGCATGTAAGTGCCTCTCTGGAAGTAAAGAGACTGGTATTGTAATTTACTCCACAAGCTACCTCTTAAAAGCATTACATTCAGGTGAATGTAGCATTTGCAAGAAAATAATTTATTTAGGAAACTATACCACATGAGGCAGAAGACTACATGCCCCCGAACGAGTTTACAGGCTTTGCAAGAGCTACAAAGAGCTATAATCACAGGCAGGAGCAAAAGTTTGTGCAAATATTTTTAATGACAATGATTTCCACTAAGCAAAACCATATCCAGAAGCAACATACCACATTATATCTATATATCTTATTACTCTAATATGAAATAAATGTTAATTTTGTAAGTTAATACTAAGAATAAATAGGCATTTTACCTTAGCCTTTGTACGCTGTTAAAAATACAAATTTTGCTTAGCATAAAAACTTTGAAAATGTGAAACAATAGGTGGTGTGCATATTTACTAAAACTAAAAATTAAAACAATAACCATTTTTCACTTGGTAGGAATAATATACAAGTAACAGTTTGCCAATAGAGAGGTTGATAGAATGGTAAAATAATGAAGAG